TGTTGCTACAATCATTTATGTACATGCGTGTGTGTGTTATAATTATAATTGCATTTATTCTGGCGCTCCCTGAATACAAGCCAACGTCGCCTGCCATTGCCACCGGCTACCAATAAAATTCCCATTGGTCATTTGGATAGGAAATAATCGATCGGCTATCATCAGTTATTGTTGCCAATTTACCTTTAGCGAGTGGGGGCTAACCCCACATTTTGGGAGCTGCCGCCAAACTCGCTCGCGTTTCATGCTCCTGTCTGGCAAAAGGCGTTGCTGGCTAAATTGCCAATTCATTTAAATGAAAAATTGCTCAATTTAAAATTGAAAATTGAGTTGTGATTATTAAAAGCTCCTGCAATGATGATTAAACGCCCATAAACGAGAGGGAATTAACAAATGGCTATGAGTGTCATGCATGGGCTTATTTTCGGGGCTGGCGTATATTTATGTCCGACCGACCGACTAGCTGGCTGGCTTGCCGGCTATCTTGTTGGCTTGTAGAGCATTGCAGTTTGGTTAATTGGCAGTTGGCATGGTTTTGTTGTTGTACACAATGATATACCGATTGTTGTTGTGGGCAGAGCGGGGCGCACACTAATTTACACGTTTATAAATAAGCTAATAAAAGGTGGATTTTCATTATCGCTTTTAAAATAACGAGCGATTAACTGTTTTGTCCGGAATACACAAAATGACAGATGGTAATTTATTTCAGTTTCGTATTGAGACGGACATGCACACTTAAATATGGAACCTGGAAGGATGGTAATGAAGATTTCAAATCCCATTAGAAAATTTCAGTTTCGAAACTTCGTGGACCAATTAATAATTTCATTTCCTGATATTATTATAACATAATTTATCTTGGTAATAATAAATTACATACAATGTTTCTGTTTTATTCGAACATCAATAAGAATTCTGCACAACCAGTTCGAAACAGCAGCGACAACTGGAACTGCCACTCATTCAAGAAATCCATATAAAATCGATTAGTAAACGTTGGGACATAAATCCACAGCGGGATACACCAATACAATAAGCTGAGTTTTTTTTTTCAACAAAAAATCGGAATAACTATCAGCGACAGAAGTGAGGTCCATATTGCTTTAAAGGCCCATCCAAGGCATAGGCGTGGATTTTTTAAAGAATATTTCTTCAAAGGGCCATCCAAGGCATAGGCGTGGATTTTTTAAAGAATATTTCTTCAAAGGGCCATCCAAGACATAGACGTGGATTTTTTAAAGAATATTTCTTCAAAGGGCCATCAAAGGCATAGGCGTGGATTTTTTAAAGAATATTTCTTCAAAGGGCCATCCAAGGCATAGGCGTGGATTTTTTAAAGAATATTTCTTCAAAGGGCCATCCAAGGCATAGGCGTGGATTTTTTAAAGAATATTTCTTCAAAGGGCCATCCAAGGCATAGGCGTGGATTTTTTAAAGAATATTTCTTCAAAGGGCCATCCAAGGCATAGGCGTGGATTTTTTAAAGAATATTTCTTCAAAGGGCCATCCAAGGCATAGGCGTGGATTTTTTAAAGAATATTTCTTCAAAGGGCCATCCAAGGCATAGGCGAGGATTTTTTAAAGAATATTTCTTCAAAGGGCCATCCAAGGCATAGGCATGGATTGTTTAAAGAATATTTCTTCAAAGGGCCATCCAAGGCATAGGCGTGGATTTTTAAACAATAATTTTTCAATGACCACCACTACCATGGGCCTGGGTTTTTTAAAGACCACCACTATCATGGGCCTGGATTTTTAAAGAATATTTCTTCAAGGACCGCCACTACCATGGGCGTGGATTTTTTTAGGAATATTTCCTCAAGTTCCGCCACTACCATGGGCCTGGATTTTTTAAAGAATATTTATTCAAGGACCATTCAAGGTACATGCGAGGATTTTCAAAGAATACTTTTTTAACAGGTCATCCAAGGCCTAGATGTGAATCTTTTAAGAATATATTTTCAAGGACCGCCCAAGGCATAAGCGTATTTCCTACTCTCACATTTATGGTTCCTGCAACCCCTGCTATTTAATGCTAAAAATTTGTTATTGATCTGTAAAACCTAACCGCTACCAAGAATTGATCATGGTTAACACTTTGCTACACTTTAGCGATGCCCAATCCAATATAGAACTGCAACACGTAATTGTGTTCGAATGTGTTCGAAATGCAGACAAGCAGTTAAACATTCAGGTGAAACGAAAATCAAAGTGCAAACTCTGCAAGTCAATTCCAAATATCTCTCTATCTACCCCCCTTCGATCTCTGCTGAGCCCAATACAAGTAATGCTTGTTGAGAATGCAACTCACCTGGTTCTGCCACTGTGCGATTAATAAAGACTTTATCTATTAGTGGTAATCGCAAAAATCCTTAACGTAAACGACAGGCTGACTGTCCGACCGTCCGACAGACAGCCAGGAGAGAAGTAAACATAGGAACGAAGGAAATCAGAAAAAAAACATGTGGCAAATATTGTGTCCATGAACGCATTCACATGTCGACCAGGTCCAAGATATTCGCGTTCAGGAGCAACAGGTTCAGCTTCCATGGAATGTTATACCATGCACGATCCATTTGTTTGGTCGGTCATCATCATCAGCAGCAGTAGTGAGGTGAAATGAATTGTCATTGCACTGCGTGCGAACGCGGCAAAGCTTAGTTATGGAGCGAACAAATGATGCTGATTAAAATGATGATTGCTTCTGTTTTGGGCTTGACTTTTTGTTTCAACGAAAGATAACGACAAAATACATGAATTCTGCTGCTATTACTACCGGTGCTGATGCTACTGCATACCTGCATAACTTGGTCACACAGACACAAATACATTTATTAGTTGACAGATTTGTAATTATATGTAAAAGAAGTTCGGACCAATATGCGTGGATTTTAAAAATAAATTTTTAAAGGACCAACAGCGCCATTGACTTGGATTTTTAAAGAATATTTTTAAAGGAATTTTACATAGGCGTGGATTATAATTTTTTCAAAGGACTGTTAGAGCCTTAGGTGTGGATTTTTAAAGAAGAATTTTTTCAAAGGACTATTAAAGCCTTAGGCGTGGATTTTTAAAGAAGAATATTTTCAAAGGACTGTTAGAGTCTCAGTCGTGGATTTTTAAGAAGATTTTTTTCAAAGGACTATTAGCGCCTTAGGCGTGGATTTTTAAAGAATAATTTTTTAAAGGACCAACAGAGCCTTAAGCGTGGATTTTTAAAGAAGAATATTTTCAAAGGACTATTAGAGCCTTAGGCATGGATCTTTAAAGAAGAATTTTTTTCAAAGGACTATTAAAGCCTTAGGCGTGGATTTTTAAAGAAGATTTTTTTCAAAGGACTATTAGAGCCTTAGGCGTGGATTTTTAAAAAAGAATTTTTTCAAAGGACTATTAGAGCCTTAGCCGTGGATTTTTAAACAAGAATTTGTTCAAAGGACTATTAGAGCCTTAGGCATGGATTTTTAAAGAAGAATTTTTTTCAAAGGACTATTAAAGCCTTAGGCGTGGATTTTTAAAGAAGAATTTTTTTCAAAGGACTATTAAAGCCTTAGGCGTGGATTTTTAAAGAAGATTTTTTCAAAGGACTATTAGAGCCTTAGGCGTGGATTTTTAAAGAAGATTTTTTTCAAAGGACTATTAGAGCCTTAGGCGTGGATTTTTAAAGAAGATTTTTTTCAAAGGACTATTAGAGCCTTTGGCGTGGATTTTTAAAGAAGAATTTTTTCAAAGGACTATTAGAGCCTTTAGCGTGGATTTTTAAAGAGGAATTTTTTTCAAAGGACTATTAGAGCCTTTGGCGTGGATTTTTAAAGGACTATCTACACACATACATATTTATATTCAGCTTTCATCAACGATTCCATAAATTGTTTTGTATAACACGCAATTTATGTTGCATTGTGACAGCCATATTGAATTCATTACTCAAAAAAGCAAATCGAGACACAACAACCAACTACAAATGCAACAACATATAATTAAATTGTTCCCCTGAGAGACTAACGATCGTTGCCACCACCACCACAGAGCACAAACCAGATCAACAAAGTTACATCTTTGCGAAAACAAAAAATGGAATTAATTACACCAACTCAAATGCGCTGTATGATCAGATTTCAATGGTCAGCGGGAGAAGGGTCAGGAGTGGTTCTGATGGTGGTCAGACGAATTGTTGCTTGACTTGGTTGGTGGTGCTGGCGGTGGTGCAACTAATAAAATGGCATCTTAACAACCTCTTGATAAAGTGTTGCCACTTTGTGACAATTACAAGTGGTTAAATTAGCACATCTTACCATAAATAGTCGTTGCAAGTTCTGTTTTAAGTCTTGTCCGAACATTAGTTCTTTTCATTCCGACGGTTTGCTGATGGTGGTTGGTTGGCCAGGTAACAACAATTGGTGGCATTTATTTTTCTGTCATCCGTTTTGCCCACCATATAAGTTACGATGTCTATATTGAGATGTATCTGCGTCTGTGTGTAGGTGAATAAATACTTGGCCACAACAAGGTTAGGCTTCGACAGGTTATGATGGGAAATATTAAATAACGGTTTGTTTTCTTGAGATATGGTCATGTTAATAAATATCATATCCTGTTATAAATGCAATGGTATTGTGTTTGTAATTCTTTAAAAATCGACGCCTATACTTGGATGGTCCTTCAAAAAATATTCTTTAAAAATCGATGCCTATGCCTTGGATGGTCCCTGAAAAAATATTTTTTTAAAAATCCACGCCTATGCCTTGGATATTATTGCTCTGTCAATCAAAATATTTTTTTTTAAATAATTTTCAAAAATTCATTCCAAATGATTCCGCAACGATTTATACAAAAATATAAATGTGAATGTTTCCAACCATATAATTACTGCAATTGTCCTTACAAGTCCATAGCTGCGAAGGTCTTATTGGAAAATATACAAGATGTTGCCGAGACGTTAATAGAGGTACAAAGATTCTACATATCCTTCCCTTTCTGATGTTTCCTTCCTTCAGGTTATGACTCTGTGTAATATTCCCAAACACAAAGCCAAATTATCGCTGGATATCATCAAATATTACTTTCTCCATTTCGAAGAGATCATTGTAGGAGTCGATGCCTTGCCACGAAAACGTCTCTCCAAAGAAGACCTCTTTCATGATCTTCATCGTAAATGTGGTATGAATCGGTGGGAGTCTCAAATGTCATATTCAATAATTAAACGAGTCTTTCGTGCTTTCTATCATGGTTCGGGGGAGGGTGGCGTTCCCAACCCTTGGCTGCGAGAACAATTAAAACACACCACGGAATGTATGTGGGCTCATGCTGCAACAAAAACTGCCCAAGTTTATGCCGCATATGAGGGTGCCTTTATGATTTCCCAAAAAGCTTTGGAGGGAAAAATTAAAAATCTCTATACTGAGCTGCATCAACGGATGCAAGCAAAACCCCAACCAGATGAAAATCAAGAATGCACCTGTGCAGCATGTCCGGCAAGGATAATGAGAGAAAGTTTAAAACCAGTCAGAGTCACCACAAAAATGCATAACATTAGTGATCCTTTTGAAGAGATCTATAGAAGGGAGGTGGATAAAATGCTTTATGATCAGGAAAACAATGAAGAACAGGAGAGGAATAACAATCCCAAAGCGAAATGTACCTGCCCCACATTAAAAAATGATAACAATCATGATTACTACCAAGAAGCAGCTAAATTGTGTAATACAGGTTATGGTCAAGGTCCATTTGATTGTCGATGGTTTAAAATCAGCAAAGAAGAATATGAAGAGGATGATTTGGATCCCAAAATAAAATTACCCGAAGAGTTGCCATGTCAGCCATGCCAAGAGGAAGGAGACAACTCATCATGCGATTCGGAATGTCTATGTAATTGTGAAGTTTGTAACTGTGAATCGGAAGAGGAGTTGGAGTGCGGCGAAGCAGCCGTTGATGTGGGGGATGATGAATCCAGCCAAGACATTTCTTTAATATCTAAAATTGAAAAGGAAATTTTAGGTGAAGAAGAACTTTCAAGAAATGAAATTGAGGATACAAATGATGATGATGAAAATTGCGCGAATTATTCGAATTGCAAATATTCGGAAAAAATGCAAAATGCGGTTCGACAAATTTATTGAAGTGCAAAAATAAATTAATATATGTTTAAAAAACCAACAGAGCCATAGGCGTGTTTTTTTTGGAATATGTTTTCAAAGGACCATCACTACCATAGGCATGGATTTTTAAAGAATATTTTTTCAATGGACCATCACCACCAATGGGGTGGATTGTTAAAGAATATTTTTTTAAAGGACCATCACCACCAATGGCGGGATTGTTAAAGAATATTTTTTCAAAGGACCATCACCACCAATGGCATGTTAAAGAATATTTTTTTCAAAGGACCATCACTACCATAGGCGTTTAAAGAATATTTTTTCCAAAGAACCATCACTACCATAAATTGAGGATACGGTTAGTCTGCCTCTCTATGCTCGCGTTAAGGACTTCCTCCTTGAAAGAGTTAACAGAGGTCGATGTATTTGAGGGTATTCTAAATTTTTGAAACTGCATTGGTAAAGTTCAGGCCATGGCAGCCACACTAACATCACACGAATAGATATTATCGGCATTATCATATCGTCATGAAGTGGTTGTTAGGTGACGATTCGAGGTCGACCGTGGCATAGGCTCTTATCATGAGAGAGACTTGTCGCCTACGCCTGAAATGCTTAGTAATGCGACAAGGTATCAACAATACTCCTTCAAAAAAAATCGGTAGCCTTCATGAAACCGTAAAACTATGAATTACACGCGGTTGCCTAACATCCCAGACTTATGGAGGTCACTTTAGGCCTTAGACCTTCGAAATAATTTGGCTTTGACGATCTTGAAATGATAAGCTCTTGATTATTTCATGATTATTTCCGCGACTGTACTTAATACGCAGCTTAGCAATTCAATTTTTTGACCTTTCCATCGTCCGCCACCTATGGACACGTCCGATAGCTGTGCATTTATTTGTTAGGATATTTGTTGTTGTTAGTCTAGAGTTTGAAGATAATCAGTTCAGATGCTCCATTACAACTCAAATCTCCCCCTAAAGGATCGTATTGTGGTTTGGCCCTTGCATCAGAGTAGTCCCTATAGAAATGTGTCCTTCATTGTTTGGTATTTTTGGGAACTTTGGTCAAGTTCTTCAGTCAAATTGATATTTTGGGTGTCGAAACTTTTAATATTTGGTATTTTGAAGGGTTTAACCATATTTTCCCACCAAAGTAACTATAATTTTGCATTTTGGGGGTTTTGAAGCTGTCAGGGTTCAGACATAGTCCCCATAAACTCATTCTCCACTTGAAGTACACTGGAACTAAGTAAAGCCCCCTTGTAAATATATATCCCCACTGTAGTATTTTTAAGGTCCTAAAAAATCCACGCATGTGGTCCTAATACTTCTTTGAAAAATATTCTCTAAAAACTATACTTTGGCCTTCCGTGTCCTTTAATGATGAAAAATATGTTTGCAAAAATTTTCGATACAGATCCATATTTTGATTTAGTCCCAATAAAAAAGAGACACTACCTATTTTCGGTTCTAAGAAGATTTTCGCTCGATGTGACTATAATTTCTCATTCCTGGTGAATATATAACGTATCTCCAGAAAGTGCTCATTATAAGTTCATGATGTTTACGTCGCTACCATACAAAGTCCCTGCTTGGTCCATTTGTCAAGCTATGTATCTGTTATTTGGTATTTTAATTTTGTAAATAAACAACCTAGTAGCAGGCATTTACAATGACAAAGTCACCATATGAAGTTCCCGACTTTCTGAAGAACTATTCAATGTACACATATTTTAACAAGGATCAACCGAGATTTTTATGAATTCAAGTCCGGCTTCACAATTTTATCACCTTTTACTGTTGACGTCACCATATATTTGTGAAAGATTCGGCATTGCAAATTATCGATCTCCTATTTAAATTTTCCTCTTGCACAATTAATTAACCTTAACTATTTATTTCAGTTGACTTCGAAGTTACATTTCTATATTTTTTTTTTGCACTAGTCCTCTTTCTAATCCGCTCACTACATACATACATACAAACACACATGCTTACGCTAACACAAAATAAATTCTTGGAATGGTGTCATTGGTTAAACACCTTTCTTTAGTAATTGTATGTCATTTCCTACTAATTCGATCATTTTATCATGTCTCTGCTCGGTGCACTGCAACAACAACAACAACAATGAAAAAGCCAATAACAACAGCAACAAATATTACAATTGACCTTTTAAACAAATAAACTCCCAGAGCAAAGTAATAAATCTCCAAATGGAAGCCAATAACAAAAAAAGAACCTAGGCAGCCAACCAACCTAAGCCACGAAAAAGAAACAATAAAGGTATCCAGGAGGAGTTGGAGTAACGAGCAGCCAACTCAAAAAAAAAACTAAAGCGAGGTAATCTACAAGAATCTGTTAACGAATCCGCACACAACACAAAACTTAATTTCCTCTCCAAAGAAAAAAAAATCGCCAACAACAACTCCATATGGAATAGAGACAAAATTCAATATCACACCACCACCACAAGAAGGAGTTCGAAAAAAAACGGAAGAATTCATTTCGGTAAGGTGGGGAGGAGATCAGGGCAAAAGGGGCGGCATCAATTTAAAAGGCCATCTAAAAATGTTGTAGAGCATGTCTAGTTTAAGCTTAAACACTAAATAGCCAAATCGCTGATCACAATTTAGTTTAACTTGGCCATGGAGCAAGGCGAGCGAGTGAGCAAGCCCAAGCCAACCAAACAGCCAGAGGATTTGTTGATCGAACCCAGACCGAGGTATCCATCCATCCGCCAATATGTTGGGCCTTGTGTTTTTTGTTATTGTTGTTGTGCTGGCTTGATTTAACTTTAAAGCTATTACTTAACATCAATTCGTATGGCCTTCTGGAATTACAAACAACTTCATCGCCAACAACACCGTCAGCCTGGAGGCAGGCAGGCCGGACGGCCAGCCAACCAACCATCTAGACAGACAGTGACAGCCACCAAGTGCCGCCATCCTCCAGCCAGGACAGACTTTTTCCAGCAGCAGCATCATCTAGCCACGAATTAAGAAGGGAGTTTCACTTGAATTTCTTTGGGTTCATTTCCATTCTAATAGGTTTGCCCGCTAACATCCCCCCGAAGTCAGCAGATGCTCCGCACTCATCTATTCACTTGGCACCGATCATTTAACTTTTGGCTTTTGGAGATTTGTTGTGGAGGCTGCCAGGACCCACAAGGGACATCTGAATGCTGTTGAAAGTTAACTGCAAGCTACTACTGCTGCTGCCGATGTTGTTGTTATTGTTGCTATGCTATGCTGTAGTGTACTTGGTGCCTCTGTTTTGGTTGGATTGATTCTTTCCGGTAAACATTTTGCGCGAAAAACGTGAGCAAAGCAATTAATTAGTCGTACACAAAAACCCTTTTTTCCAGCGTTTTTTCCTCCTTCTTCTTTTTGTTGACTGTTTTTGGTTTGGCTATCACTGAGACTTCAAGTCCGTCCTTAAAGACCCATGAGTGTATGTGTGTGTTTGTGTATTTTGCTATGGGTGTGTTTGTATGTATGAGTGCCTGCGGATCTTTGTGTATGCTGTGGTCTTTTGTGGAAAAATTTTAATTGGCAATTGTTGTGCGCTTTGTATGGTCATAAAAATTCCTACACTTCTTCGTCTCTTACCTTGCGGATGATGTTGCTGTCGTTCCATAGCGGCGGCAGCAGCTGCTGCTGATGATGATGGTCCATATATACTATTTGCAATGGTATTTCTTTCAGTTGTTACCCTGTCCCGTCCCGACGATTTTTTCAAATATCACCATATTGCCAGTGACGTTTACTTATCCGGCAATATGTGAATGAATTCAACACTGTGATAACGTTTTACACTCAGAAAAATAATGTTAATATAAGGGATAATGTGTATAAGACCACAAAATAACTAGACATATTTTCATTCCTTCAATAACTAATCTTTACAATAACATCCTTGACAATTTATCCTTACAATTGACGCTAAAGTCATTAAAAACATATCCTCATAATTGGCCCTAGAATTCTTTCACCAAATGTCCTTAAAAATATATTCTCTTGGGCCTAGCAGGCCTTGGAAAAAATATCATCAAAAAATTCCCTATATTGTCATTGACAAAATATCCTTAATAATCCCCTGTGAGCCCTGGACAAAATCCCCTAACCATAGTAGTCTTTGAAATATATTCTCAAAAAATCCCCTATATTTCCCCTAGTATCCTTAACAAAACATACTCAAATATTCCCTCTATTCGTCCTAGAGGTACTTGACAATAAATCCCCTATGTTAGCCCTAGTAGATTTTGATATCCTGAAAAAAATTCCACTACTAGCCCTAGTTTTCCTTGACAAAATATTCTCAAAAATCCCCGATGACCCCTTTACAAAATCCTCTATATAAGTCCTAGTAGTCATTGACAAAATATCATTTTATTAGGCATAGTAGTCATTTGCAATATATCAAAATCTATATTATTAACCTCGAAAAATCCCCTCTATAAGTCCTGGTAGTCATTGAAAAAATATCCTCAAAAATCCTCTCTATTAGCGCTGGTAGTCCTTGACAAAATCACCTCTATAAGCCCTATTAGTCATTGAAAAAATATATTAAAAATCGCCTTTTATTTGCTCCGGTAATCCTTGACGAAAATTCTTCAATAAATCCTTTCTATTAGCCCTAGTGTCCTTGACAAACCCCTCTCTGTCAGCGCAAGTTATCCTTGACAAAAATCCTCAACAAATCCCCTCACTAACACTTATCCCTCTCACTAACAAAAATCCCCTCTAATTGCCCAAGTGTCCTTGAAAAAATGTCCAAAAAAATCCTTTCAATTAGCCCTCATATTTCTTGAAAAAATCCCCATATATAAGACCTAGTAGTCCTTGACAAAATACTTTAAATATCAACTATATATGCCATAATAGAGCTTTAAAAAAAATATACTCAAAAATTCCCTATATTAGCCCTAGTAGTTATATACAAAATATCCTTTAAACAAAAAACCCTTTATTCTTTACAAAATCCCCTTTATTTGCCCTAGCAGGCCTTTAG